AACCTGCTGGTGCCGATGCAAATCCGAAATTGGTATTTCTCACCTAAGAGTTAAATGAAACCAATCCCAAAACATTTTATTTAAATGCCGTTAATCTTTTAAAAAGGGAGTCAGAGGTCCTCTGGATGTGATAAGGGCATGAACAGTGGAAGTTTTAAGAACCACATTTTAAAAAGCCTTCTGGGGCACATCTTTCGGTTTGGTCGTAATAGTGTGTATGTTAAATGTAAACCCCAATCCTTTTCCCTCTGCTTGTACAGACGTGAATGTAAGCTTCTGGAGCTGAGGGAGCATAGAACGTTCCTCAATGTAAACACCAACCAATGTAAATTTCTCTTTCCAGGTGCCGCCCCCTGCGCTATCCATCTGTCCAACCAACCGTGTGCTCTTCTGTACACCTGAGCTCGGAAGAGCCATTTACTGAAAACCAAACTCACCCCTAACGTTATCCACTGCCTAGATCAGTGCTTTCTTTCTTGTTTTGTTTTACAAAATAGTTTGACTAGACAAGGTCTAAACAAAGCTTCTTATGTCATTCATTTAAGCTATTTTTTTGTTATAATTTTTAAATATTCTGTTACCTGATGCTAAAGAAATCATTATAGGAATTGAAGGGAGAAAAGTTACATCAAATTTACATTATAAACCATGAGGTTGTCATTTGAATATGGACTTTATGAAATTAATGCAAATTTAGTCCTCTAAGGAAATATATGTAAGCTTTTCTGATTTTTTTTTTTTTTAATCCTCACCCGAGGACATTTTTCCTTTTTTGTTGTTGTTGTTGTTCAGATAGAGTAGGAGGGAGAGAAACATTGACATGAAAGGGACACATCGAGTGGCTGCCACCCGCACGACCCAACCAGGGCCGGGGACAAACTGCAACCGAGGTACATGCCCTTAGCGGGAACCAAACCCGGGTCTCTCTGGACCGCAGGCCGATGCTCTAACCGCTGAGCCAATCCAGCCGGGGCTCTAATCATTTTTATTCAAATGAAAATCTGCATTCGCTCAGAACTTTCTAACTATTAGAAGTTGTATGGCTTTTAAAAATAGAGGAGCCCTGGCCAGGTGGCTCACTTGGTTGGAGCGGAGTCCTGGACACCAGAAAGGTTGCGGGTCCGAATCCCTGTCAGGCTCAATGTTTCTCGCTCACACTGATCTCTCTCTCTCTCTCAAAGCAATTATCTATCTATCTATCTATCTTCAGGTGAAGATTAAAAAAAAAAGTAGGGGAGCTCTTCAGACTGTTGGTCTTCCCTCACCTGCCACCTCCAGCCTGAATTTTCTCCCTCCCCCAGGAGCCCCGAGGTCCTGCCCCTTAAACTTCCAGAGGACCTGCCCCTGGCTCCGTTTCTCCGAGTGCTTAATATGCTTCCAAAAGTGGGCATCTTTTGGTGCAAACCGAGTTTCAGCTTTATTTCTTCCCCATGTTAATTTAATCGGCAGGTATCGGAGGCCCACGACATGCCTTGAACGATGCTAACATTTCAGTCAAGGGTTTACGTGCAACAGACCATCTGTGATCACTCAAAGGAAGTCATTTTCGCTTTCTCAATTTTCACATATACGGATTTCTTGATTTAACTGAAATAACTAGAAAATGGTGCAGTACAGTAATTCTTTTAACATCCTAAACTATTGTGACCAAGTCATTTATTAACCCTCTCACAAGGATTATTACTTTATAAAGAAAAACTATTTAGAAAGACAGATAAATTACATTGTTCATACTGAGGCAGTCCTCAAATGTTATCTTCTTATCAAGCGACTCAATTAGCCTCCTTGGGAATCCACCCAGAGGTGTCCAGCAAAGGGATTTACCCTAGAATGCCGCTTATGTGGATGCTGAACATCCCTAACCATCCTCGACTTACTGTTAATATTTCTTTTCTAATCCACCTTAGACTTTTAAATTTGAAGGTCCCACTTTTCAAGTATCATTAACATACATAAAAATCTTGATTCCCAAGTTACCTTGAGACACACGAAGAGAACCAGAGCCACACCTCCTGGTGCTGGGATGAGCCTGCCCTCCAGCCCTGCTGCGGACCCGGCACACACGGCCCTTCTCGAGGGGCTGGTGGCTCTGGGCTCTTACTCCTCTAGAGAGCACTAGTCTTCAACGTTCTGCATTGTCTTCATGAAGCCACAAGTACCTCGGACAGTTCTGTTCACCCAGATTCACCACGTTTCCTTACACATGCTTCAGGTTTTGGCTTCAAAAGCAACTAAGTAGAATTATTAAATGGCTTTTCAGTGAACAGTCAGAGGTATTAAGCATCACTAACTGCAACATGCTCTTGGGACACCTGCTGCAGTCCTTAGGGCTTTCAAGAGATGTATGAATACGAATCCTTCTACTAAAAACAGGATCCGGGTTGGTGTTTTGAAGTGAATGTCCTTAGGAAAGTGGATTTTATTACAGTTCAACAAGGGATTTAAGAGTGCCCAGGAGCCCAGCCAGTGTGGCTCAGTGGATTGATCATCGTCCCATGGACTGAGAGGTCCCGGTTCGATTCCCAATCAGGGCACATGCCCAGGTTGTGGGCTCAATCCCCAGTAGGGGGCGTGCAGGAGGCCGCCAATCGATGTTTCTATCTCTTCCTCTCTGTAAAAAAAACAATACACACACAGAGTGCCCAGAGAGTTCTTGCACTCAGCATGCTCAATCTGATGTCATTGTTATTATACTCTTAATCAGCAGAATTTAAAGGGTAAGTTATGATGGCTACAAAAAGGAATTGCGGATCCTGGGACATATCTTTGTAAACTGTGCTTCATAGGGTAACACTACTTAGAATTTAAAGGCCAAATCTTCACAATGGCACTGAAGATATATACAAATTTAGCAGACACAAAAGTTGTAGTGAGGCAAATGTAAAAGGTTACCATCTGTCAGTTAATTCATTCTTGAATGGGAAGAGACTTTCAGTTTGTAGACAAACATTCTGATTTATGTATGAAGGAAGCAAGAACCTGAGACAGGACAGAGGGGAAGAAAACGGGTTGATGACAGAATGAGCGACGGGAACCCTCGGTCGGTGAGGAGTGGAAAGGGTGGCGGAGGGAAACGGGTCTGCTGGAAGGACAAAAGGCAGGTGGTTGGACTTCTAATGAAGACAATGGAGTTTCAAAAGGGAACTCAAAACTAAGACTTTATAGAAGCCAGATAAAAAGTACTGCTGCTATGTTTCAGAAATTGGCATAATGTATAAACAAACACTACCGGTACAGATTCCACTACATTTAACATTCAGTACTTGGTAAGGCCCCTTTCCACACAATGTCCTTTGCCCTGCAAACTACATAAAGGAAAGTTTTAACTGCATAAATGAGTTTCAGTATCTTCTACATCACAGGACAAAATGAAGTAAAATCAAACATCATCATTCTCTATCCTGTAACAGTAAAAACACTGTAGAGTGGAGCCATGTGAAAATAACAAACAGGGAACAGCCAACGGGTAATTTCAAACAAAAAGGAGGTAACTCCACATATTCCCTTTGTACACACTGCTTAGTACTTATGACGTATATGAAATCTGTAAAGAATAAGTGACGTGATATGTAAACTTTAAGTAGTGAAGTCATGGACTTTAAAACGTGATTTTTCACATTCAATATAACTTATTTTAGAACATATCATTTCAGAAGATTATCTAAGTGTCACAAACAAGCAACATGTATATACCGCAATTTTATTTCAATCGCACAAACGACGTTAGCGTGTAGGAAATTTAAATGAAACAGTACGGTAAAAACGGCAGAGAACCGAAAACTCTAAAAAGGAAGTACACCTGAAGCATGAGAATTCGACCTTCGTTAGTGTTTCATCTTCAGTTCTGATGGACACTGATGCTTGCAAACCTCGGAACAAACTTTGAAATCAGGATGACTACTCTGAAGAGATTTCAGCACCAGCACTGACTTGTACATTCAGTTGGTTTCAGTGGACTTGTTGGCCGTTCACATGGTGTGGAGCACAGATTTGTCACAGGTCAGATCACAGTGTTGAGGAAAGAAGTGCCTTCCTGCGGTGAGAAAGGGTCCCCTAAACTGCTTAAGACATCCAACGTCCAAGAGCACACGGACCGTCGTGACGATGTGGTCCAACGCAGTCTGGGTAAGGGAAAGAACTTACGCTTTCCATTTTAATTACTGAAATCTCTAACAAGGACAGCTGTCGCGTGATGCTAGATGTGCAACAGTAATTCAACCAAACTTCTTGGAAAGAACACATTTAGCAACCTGGGATAATGCAAACTGATGGAAAATAGAACACAATTCAATACTGGTTCTTTTTGTCATTTTACACAGACATCATGTTAATATTAGACCAAGGCACAAAACGTTTAGTGCATAAACCAGTTTCTTTTTAAGATCTAGCGTTTTATTGAAGTCTTTTATCTTACTTTGGACCACTTGTACCCAGAGTCCTCTACCCTATTATAGTATTTAACTTAACCAACAAAACCAAAAGTTACTTCTGACCAGATTTATAGGGGACATAAACGTTTATATTATGAGTGTTTACATAACCAAAAGTACAATAATAAAGATGAAAGTGCCTCCTATTTCTGTTAGAAAACAGTCCTTTGTAAGCATGTTGCATCTTCCATGCCTTTACTACTGATGTATGACAATGAATAGGTTGACAGAAAACTTGAACTATGATAGCTCATCCAGCACAGATTAATCTAAAAATGAAGTTTCTACAGAAACAGGAACTATTTTAACAAGGAAAAAAATTCCCTCACTCAAACCTCTGAAGTGACAACGCTGCAAATGAGCAGCATTTAGAAACTATGCTTCCAACAAGCTCTGTTTATGAACTGAGATGGACGAAATCTAGAGAGCAGACGAATGGATTCTTTCTTCAACATTTTAGTAAAACTTCTGATAATCAAAGATTTCAAAGCAAATATGGCACATAACAACGCAAGCATGAATCAAGATGGAAAGCCTAGAGAATTTTTGATTTCCTAAATTTTCAAAAAAAAAAAAAAAAATCTATCATTGCAACAGATAGGATTTCTCCCCTATTTTAATCTTACAAATTTCAAATAAAAGGGAGTGGATTACATACACACGCGTGTGCACGCACAAACACACGCGCATACACAGTGGTAAGTAGAGGATCTAATTCCTTGTTCCCACCACCCAAGTCTCACTTTATTTATTAAAAGAAAACAATGCAGAACTCATTAGTTTCCCCTCACCTAATGATTTCTGTGACCTTAACCGCTGCCATCATCGTTAGTTCTTGTAAATCAACATAACAAAATTCAAAAGCAGCTTCACAGTCAGGAGCATGTACCTGAACAGCTGTATACCTGCAGGGCACCTAGGTAATAGTAACTACCAAATTCAGGGATCAAACTTTTGAATTCCGCAGGAAGATATACTTCGTGCGAAGCTCAGAATCATGTTTCAGACCATTGAAATTACTGAAGTTCAAATACAAATAGCTGAAGACATGATGTAAAAGATTAAGTACTTGGTTCTGTTAACGTTATTTACCAATTAAAAGCACAAAAGAGTCCTCATTATTTTTCATGCAGGTAATTGACAAAAAAGATAGTGCAGAAATTAACTTTAAATAAAAAATTATTCCTTCCCTTCCTCCCAATCCCCTATACGCTACAAAAATGTTTTCCCTGGGACTAGGCCTTGAAAAGGCCACTACGTGTTACTGTGACATGCATTACTGTCTGCGATTAAAAAAGCTAATTTTGTGGTGTCTGTAATTACATTATAAAAATGTCCACATGCATAAATCTAAAAAAGGTTGGAAACCTACAGTAAATCTACAATATGTTGTTTTACATTTGACCACTGGTTTGCATTATGTAGGAGTCATAGATTTGGTAAAGCATTGTAACAATTTAGGAAGGCATCTAAATCTTTAAATTCTGGACAAATTTTATGTTTTAATCTACAAAATTGCATGAAGGCTAACTCGAGAGACTTCCTATCATTCTAAAATTCCTCAAGCTGGACAAATCACTTTTAGGACACTTTCTTACAAGTATCACCCTTTGAAAGCACATAGCAATTCCATCTGTTCCACATTTGATGATCTTAGCCTGCACAGGGCTACCTCAATAGTCATGGAATAATGATAGGAAGACGAACCTGAGAGAAACATTTACAATACAATAGCATAACCTGCTGAATTCTTCATCAGCACTCTCCGAAAAAAATCTCCTTAAGCCTTTCTCCTCTTTATTTTAGCAATGATTGTGGAAAATGTGAGATTTTTATCCTGACATGAAGATACTTCAATGCATGGTGATCTTGCCTGATGGGCTCAGTGTTTTCTGCACAACTGTTACAGGAACTCTTCTCGACTCTTCCATTCTGTTGAAAAGGTCAAAGAAAAAAGCAGCAAACTGGGAGGGAAATAGCTTATCGCCAGCGGAATAAAGTCTGAAGGCTTTCAAAGTGTGTTGGTTTTTCCCTCCTTCTGACGATCTGTGTCTCCAGCTTCTCACAGCTCACAAAATGTAGGGGTTTGTTGTTAACAGTTGTTGTTCGTAGGTGTGTTTTTTTCTTTCTCCAGATTAAAGTCCTATCTCTCCTTAGTTTGTTTCTCTATGCGGTATTTGACTTGCTCAGTTCCTGCCTGATTGCTGAGTAGGAAAAGGAAAAGTATTCAAAATAAATAATAAGGTAAAATAAATGAGTGACTCAATCTTCAGCAATTTTAATGATCGTGTTCAAACTCATAGTAATAAAGACACACTGATCTTGTATGTTTCACTGCATAGATCTTTCAGCTTTCTTATCGCAAAGATGATACTAATTTCCACATATGTATGTTTATTTATTCTCTCCCTTTTGTATATGAAACAAAAACACTTTATTCTGTAGGCTCAAAAACAACACGAGGGCAGTGTGACGATGAATGAGCAGAGGTAACCTACAGAAGGACTTGTTCACCGAGTTTTCCAGCAATTACTACTGAACACCTGGAACTTAGGATTCTGGTTTACCCATTTTTACCACCCTTATGAAGGACAGAGAGCTCCTCCCACAAGCCAAGCAAAGGGCATGATACTATGGAAAAGTAACTGTTTTATGCCCTCAAGTAATAAACTGACACTTTATTTGCATTTTCTTAAAACTAGTTATTCTTAAATTAAACATTACTCTATAGGAGTACCAAATTTGTTTAGACACTCACCATCAATGAGCTCTTCTTTTAGCTTTGTTAATTCTTTTCTCATTTCATCTAAAATGTCCTAAAATATTAGAGAAAAACATCAGGAATACAGAAAATAAACTACTGCTGAAAAGATTCTTGCTCATATAAAATTTTAAGAATGTATGAAAAATGACGCATGTTTTTTGTTTCCAGAGTTACAATTTATGTGTTAGAAGACAAGACTTGGTAAATTTTGTTTTAATAGTTTTCTTTTACCAATCTTGGCTTCTTTCAGCCTAGTAATATATAAAACAGAATGCTTTCTGAAACTAAAATAATTACTCTGCCATCCAGTAAAGGTATGATTCAGATAGTCTCTAGAAAAGATAAGAGCTCTGCTTTATAACAAATGTTTTTTAATTGATTTTTTTAGAGAAAGAGAGACATCTATGTGAAAGAGAAACATCTATCAGCTGCTTCCTGCACACTCCATACCGGAGATCAAGCCCAAAACCTGGGCCTGTGCCCTGGCCGGGAATCAAACTGGGACCTCTAAGTCCGTGGGCCGACGCTCAATCCACTGAGCCACACCAGCCAGGCACAAGCTCTGCTTTTAATCTAGTCTTCGGGGAGCTGTCTGAGGGGTGATGCACCAAGATGCATAAAGGAGGAAGACAAGTAAAGTGGACAGTCAGCTCTTGGCAAACCTAGTATCTGGTCTGAAGTATGGGGATTGCTTAGGAATCACCCCAGCTGCCAAACTGTTTTTCGAGGAATCTAGGGCTCCCGCCGAGGGCCCTCAGGGGCTGCCCTCACGTGGAAATGAAGGTGTATGGGACCCTGCTGGCCCTGCCCTGTTCAAGACAGTAGGCACCAGCCACACGTAGCTACTAAGTACCTGAATGAGGTTGGTTTGAAATGAAATGCATTCTAAATGTAAAAAGTACACTAGGATTTCAAAAATTTAGTATGAAAAAAATCATGTATAACAACTCAGTAATTTTAAAATATTGATTACATATTGAAATATTATTTTGAAATTTCACTTGTTTTTCTGTACTTAATGTGGCTACTAGGTACTTTGTGGTCCATATTATATTTCTATTTAACAGCAATGCTCCAGACCCTCCTTTCTCCATGAAAACCAGGCCATCTTTATATTATTCTGCAAAAGTTCTAAGTTCAATTTGAAATAATGGACACTCCCCTCTCCAGTTAAAAAAAAAAAAAAGATCAAGAAGTATGTGATATGAAAGTTACAGGGCCATGATAAGGTTCCACAATTTTTCATCATGAAAAATAACAGCTATCCTTAGGAAGGATTAGTTTTTAATTATGTGACTTTAATACTGCGCACACCCCAGGTAAAATTGCTCTGTGTTTAAGATTCACTTAAAAAAAAAACAAACTTATATACTGATTTTATAAAGAGAAATGGAGAGGGAGAGTAGAAGGGAGAGAGGGGGAGGGAGAAGGAGAGGTTGATTCTTGTATGTGCCCTGATCAGGGATCATATTCACAACCTTGGTGTAACCAACTGAACTACCCAACCAGGGCTAAGGTTAATTTTTTCTTTAAAGCTTTTCATGTTTAAAAAATAAGTTGAAAATTATCAATTAGCTTAATTCCTCCATTTTGCCAATGAGAAAACTGAGGCGCAGAAGTTATTACATGAACAAACAGATACCCTTATTCAAATTAATCTTAAAGTCGGCACTAAAATCCAATCTATCCCTCTGTCTGCCACTCTTCTAACCAAGAACTTACCTCAAGTGTGTGTGAGTGCCCTACTGTAAAACAGTTTTCAAGAAAACGAAGGCGTATTTAATATACAGGAAAACAAGCACCTTGATTATCAATCACCGCTTGCTTCTTTTCCAAATCACACAACCCAATTTCACTTCCCAAAAGCTCTGCAGTACAAAAACCAGATTGATCTGAAATTAGGCTTTCTCTCTTTAACCTCTTTTATTTGAACTCATATCACTACAACATGATTGGCCCCCCCCTTTGAGCCCCATTCAAACACTGGCTGGCATTTAAAAAAATGAGTGATAGAATGGGGAAGTGGGGTTTGAAGGAAAATGTGGGTTCTGATCCTGACAACTGTTTACTTAGCTGTGGGACTGAGGAAATTGCATTTCCCTGACCCTCAGGTGTGCAGAATTTGGGTATAAACATTACAGGACGTGACTACTGTGAGGATTAAGAGACAATGTACGCCAAGAACCGAGCCTATACCTGGCACGAGTCTACCAGAGTCGACACACGCTCCTACAGTGACCATTCTTTCCCGAGGCTGTGCAGGGCAAGACGACAACCATTACATGTCTCATTACAGGCCCCTCTGTACCCAGGTCTGCAAACTGATAGTCATTTACTAAGATGCACTGCCTGTCATTTTTGAATCTTTTTAACACTACCAATTTTTTAAAACTGTTTTACGTCTTCCAGGAATAAAATACTTTAAGGTTCCATAACCTCATCATTTGTTACTCCTTCCACTTTTTCTGAGTACACAGGTATTAAATATAATGCATATGTATTCAAAATAAGGACAATAGCCCTGGCCGGTTTGGCTCAGCGGTTAGAGCATAGGCCTGCGGTCCAGAGAGACCTGGGTCCGGTTCCTCCTAAGGGCACGTACCTCGGTTGCAGTTTGTCCCCGGCCCTGGTTGGGTCATGCGGGAGGCAGCCACTCGTTGTGTCCCTTTCACATTGATGTTTTTCTCTCTCTCTCTCACTCATCCTCTCTCTCCCTCCCACTCTATCTGAACAAAAAATGGAAGAGGGTCCTCGGATGAGGATTAAAAAACAAAAACAAAACAAAATAAAGACAATAACTTAAAAAAATAAAATAAAGTTGGGCCCTGGCAGATTTTTCTCAGTGGTTAGAGCATCGGCCTGTGGACCAGAGAGTTGTGGGTTCAATTCTGGTCAAGAGCACGTACCTTGGTTGTGGTTCGGTCCCTCGCCCTAGGTGGGGTCATGCAGGAGGCAACCAATCAATGTGCCTCTCTCACATATATATTTCTCTCTCTCTCACCCTCCCACTCTATCTGAAGAAATAATAAATGGGACAATACCCTTGGGTGAGGATTAAAAAAATAAAGTTGAAATAACTGTGCATATTAGTTGGTTACCTGTTTCCCCTCACATGGGCATGACTCACTGTTGAATGTTCTGTTATGATTCCTTCACAGCCGCCGAGCTCTCCTTCATGTTACATATCTATAGGTTCTTTTCATTTTTTTTGGTACGTGCCCCTACTGGGAACCGAACCTGGGACTCTCTGGTCCGCAGGCCGATGCTCCAACTGCTGAGCCAAAAAGGCCAGGGCATATATATATACATATTCTGTGATATTTTATTAGCATAAATTCTTAGAAGTGAAATTGCTGGGTTCAAAAGTAAGACATTTATTTTTAAGGCTTTTGATTTCTTTTCCCAAACTGTTTCCTAGAAAGCAGAAGTGCACGAAAGTGCCCATTTTCCTTACATTCTCATTAAAACCAGATTTTCTGGGTCCATTTTTGCTAATGTAGGTGAGCAGTGGGAGCCACCTTCCCCTTTTGCACAACAGGCACATATATTTAAAGTGTACACAATACTATTAAACCACTGACCACACCCTCCACCACGACTGAAACTTTATGCAAACCCAATGAACCAAAACATGAGAATCTGAAAAATAAAATAGGACCAATGCCATTGCTTAATTTGTAGAAAAATATCTTTAATGCTTTTCAAGTTCATTCACAATCTGTCAAATATATATGGATGTTTTTGGTTTTTTTTTATCCTCACCTGAGGACATTTTTTTGTTTTTTGTTCAGATAGAGTGGGAGGGAGAGGGAGGGAGGGAGGGAGGGAGGGAGGGAGGGAGAGAGACATCAACGTGAAAGGGACACATCGAGTGGTTGCCACCCGCACGACCCAAACAGGGCCGGGGACAAACTGCAAGCGCGGTACATGCCCTCAGCGGGAACCGAACCCGGGTCTCTCTGGACCGCAGGCCGACGCTCTAACCGCTGAGCCAAACCAGGGCACGCAGGATGTTTCTTAAAAGAAGAAGGACAAATGAAGGACAGCTGCCACCGAGCACCTACCTGCTTCAATCTGTCGTAGTCTAGTCCCTCTGTCTGGACTCCATTGGCACTGGGCTGGGAGGAGGGTGCAGATTTTGGTCTGTACAAATGAAATTTCCAGGACAGGTAAACAACACTTAGGACATTTAACGAGTTCATAAATAATTGTAAATTTACCAACCCAATAACGTATTTCAGACCATTTCTTAAAACATTGTGTTAAAAAGTTAATTGTCAAAGTTGTAGTGCCGATTAGAACATAAAGCAGAAAATCTTTTTTACTTTTCTCAGAATTTTTAGTTATTTGTAAAGAAATTAGAAAGAGGTGCTAAGATGATGAGCCTTCAGTAAAGAGTAGAACACAACGTTCTCTGGGCATGAGGCAGGTCACCAGGTAACATGTGACATGTTGATCAAGACAGACAAAAGGCCAGCAGCAACATCCGCGGTCCCAGTGACACAATCTTGTTTTCTCCTTCTTCTGAAATTGCACATTATTACTAAACAGCTGACAAACCCATAGAAGGGAAAATAGAAAAACAAATATTTCACTCTAATATGAATCAATTTATAAATTCTACAACTTGGTTTGAGGCAAGAACATTTTACTAAGCACGACTTCTTTGTATTTTTTTTATTCCATTTCAAGCATCAAAATAAAATTTAAAATGTTAGAAAAATGATTATTAAGTTAAAAGTATATTAATATTCAAATGGCTATGTAGCTACTTCCTGATGAAGTTTTTATGGAGATGGCATGTGAATGGTGTGTTCTGGCTAACTACTTCCATAACCTTATTTTGTTTTTTGGGGGGGCCTTCTTTTTAAGGAAATGCCACACAGAAGCTGATAAGTTAATTGCTGCACTTTCAAAAGTTTATCTTCTATTAAAATTTTCATATGAAGAAACAGTGTTCAAGATTAAGTACATTGTAAGCAAAATTTAAAAAATCAAATAAGTCGGTCACATGGCTCCCTCTCCAATTCTGGGAATAAGAAAATCCTAAGTGGAAAACTCAGACATTTAACTGGGTCCTCTTCTACTTCCTGGTTTAGTATAGTAAGTGGCTACTCTTTAAGGGCTACCAATCAATGCAGAGTGAAACCATTAGTCAAGTCATATAATTTCAATTTTATAGAGTATCAATGTTAAGCAATCTGAACCAAGACTCAATAGGCAAAATAACTTTTACAAAGTTATAACTGCATAATATACCTCAAACCCATAGGCATTGTTTGTGAAGATGAAATATTGAGTTAATTTGCTTTAACATCAAACATGACTGTTTAAAAGGTTGTTGTAAAGCAAGTCAATCAATTTTATTTTATTAGATATCTTCATATGCTTCTATGAACAAGGAAAATAATAACTTTCAGAAAATTCCACTAAATAAGCCTGAGGTAGACACTGGGGGGGTAAGAAGATTTATATGACATATTTTCTTTCCTCTTGTGAGAATATGCTTTTTCACTTTGCTGAGGAGACTACTTAGCGCCACATTCATCTGAGATGTATTGAGGTCCACGGTTTGCAAGTCATAGTGCTTTGTGTAGAGTCTGGTTCAATAAAATTTTCTTAAAGTTCAACACACTGTGCATTTCATTTACCAACATTATTTATTCCTGCTCTCCAGAATTAAATCATTAACTATTCTACTTTTCTTTTACTTTTCATATTTAAGTGGTACAACTAGTTATATAACTATATATATATAACTATATATACATATACATACATATATTTATATATATATATAAAAACTATAGTCTGCTACTTAACTGGGCAGTATGCTATGAATATACCCATATTTACTAAACAATGCAAGAAACTATTGTTGTTATATAATAAACAATTGTGGAAACATGCAGTTTTTTAAAAAATTGAATTCATGCTAACATGCAATCCACCACCACCACCACCAGCAGCACCACCAGTATAATGAACTAAAGGGGGGAACTTTTCATACTGAAGGAAAGAAGTAATCACCACTTTACAAGGGTCATCAACGCTGCCCCAGGAGGCACTACGCGTGAAAGCAACGGGACAGCTGAGGGGACTGACTGACAACAGAAAACCTCATTGTTAAATGTTATTTTTCTATCTATTAGCAAATTTCCTAAATAAGTCTTTTGGTCTTAAAAATTAACTCACCTCAAAAAAAGCAGAAAAAACCAATTTCACTATTATCTAATATAAACATTTTATGAAGATGTAACTGGCTGACCAAATAAACTTATCAAATATTTTAATCATCATTGGCACAAAAATAATTTTAATTAATAACAATTTGGCCAAATAGAGTCTGATTACAGAACTTCCTCAGGCCACACACCCTTCTATGTACCACTCAGTTCATGCGCCCCGTAGGCTGGACATGGACTTTTAAAACATAGACACATATATCATAGTAGGTCTCAGATATTTCTAATCTATGGGTTTTCACCATAATCGGTAACAAAATATGAGCTTCTCAGAGGTTTTTATTACTTTTAAGGAAAGTGTTGCCTCTAGATACCTGCCTATGATATAACTGTAGTACAATACTCAAGCCTCTATTCTGCCAAATTACCTCTCAATATAGCTTAAGCATTTGAGGGTTTTTTTAAATTGCCATTTTTTTTCTTAATGAAGAAAGAAATACATGGGTCACATCTTAACTTTTCTTAATTAAAAATGGGGTAATAGGACTCATCCTATCCTAGAAAACAGATAATCCATTCAGGATGTTACACGTTAGGTTGTTAAATACTTAATTTACCACAAAGTATCTAGAAAAGAGATTTTCCTCAAAGAATAACTTATCCACAATTGTGGTTATAATGTTCTCCCATGTTCCAGTAGCAAACATACAGGATCTTGTGTTCCACTTTTTACAAGCTTTGTCCCATACCCATACAGAGAAAATGCCTTTATAAGAAAAAGAAAAAGCTAAACAGCCTAGATATATGTGGCCTCAGATTCCCATTCTAGTATTTCTGATACGTTCACCATTTATATTTATCCTACTCTAAACTACAAAATGATGGCAGGGAAATGATACTATTAATTTTTCTAATTTAAATCTCTTAAAAATCTTTAAAAAGTGTTCTAAATAAAGCTAAACATGAAAGATTGAATATTCCTAAATATCTCCCTTGTGGTGATTACCAATCCATGTAGAAAAAGCTCAGCCCTACCCTGAACATGTCATTTAAAAGTCTCAAATCACAAAGTCACATCAGGATGATACCTGTGTAATGAATCATAGGACCTGTTGTCAAAAAGAATCTGATTTTTCCTTGGAGAATCCCGTCTATGAAGGGGAAAAATCATTTAAAGGGGTATACAATAGAACTTAAAAAAATAATTCTCAGTATATTATTTTATAGGTATTTTTAGTCTTAGCAATCAAAATAAGAACTAAAGGAGTCCATCAATCTTAAAATAAGGTTTTTTTTTCCAACAAAAAGTAAGATATTTGGAGACTAATTCTAATTATGTGAAGATACTATTTACTTAAACACAGAAAAAAAAATTTTTAATCATTATTTTTATAGATGGCAGACACAGTAAAATGCATGGCACAAAGATTCAACAAGTATCAAAACACAAAGACATTTCCATTAGAGTGAATATAAAGCTATATAGTCTCAATCAAAAGCCCACTTAAAAAAAAAAATCACTGTAGTCTGAAGTATTCAAAATTAACTCTTTTCAGGAGGCATGCAAAGAATACTTTTTCCATCTTGAATACAAGATCTGTAAGCTCCTAATAAAAACCATAGGAAGAACTCACAAACATTCCAGTATTACATTCTAGTCCTGGTTTAAAGCATTTTTAACTATAATATTCTTGCTTTTACTTTACTAACATCCTCACTTAATAAATACAGCACAATGCAGTATCTCTTGTATATTATTACAGGATTAATCCATTCTGCCATTAAGATCATTATGACACAGATATTCAGAAGAGAAATGGGTATTTTCACTACTGTGCAAGTATGAGGCACACTTAAATAAAAACATAAAATGGCCAATGTACTTGCTTTCAGAAGGCACAGGGGAGATAACTTAGGAAGAAGGAAATCTTAAATTTTTAAACATATTTTAAAAATCGTTTCTGGTTTAATGTGTTTGCAGTGAAATGTTAAGACGTGTATCTTACGTGTCAATGGTTGGATCAAATCTACCAAAAGGTATATAGTTAGAAAATAATTGCGTCTTTCAGAATTTCTGTTTTAGGACAGGAAAGAAAAACCATCTACCAGAGTCAGAACATGATTACAATGTACTACTGAATAATATGAACCAATATTCCATTAGCCTATATAAAAATACTTTTTAAATGGTGACCTTTAGAAGACTTATTAAACTTCCTTTAGAAGTCTGAAAAAGATTTCAAGACATATTTTTTCTTTTACTAAATAAACCCAAACACATCAAGAAACATATTCCATTTGGAGAACCTCTTCCATGTCCCTTCTAAGACATTTCTGCCATGCCCTGGCAAGTGTGGCTCAGCTGGTTGGGCACTGTCCCACGAAAGTCTGCCGGCTGGACTCCCCATCAGGGCACAGGCCAGGGTTTTAGGCTCAATCCCTGGTAGGGGGCAAGTCGGAGGCGGCTGATTGATGTTTCACTCTCACATGGATATTTTCCTCTCTCTCTCATCCTCTCTCTAAGAAAATAAATTTTAAAAAATGTAAAAAGATACTTTTGCCATAAATCTAGGTTTAGCTGTTGGCAAGCTCACTAAGGAATTCCTATCAATGAAGTAGGGATGAAGAGTAGTGGCAAAGAGGAGAAAGAATTCTTCCCTGTCACAGTTTACACCTTCAGAAGACAAACGGCACATCACAGTTCTGTTCTCTGATATGTACGTGATAAATCAGGCTTTCTAACGTGCAGCTGAAGAAAGGCGTTAACTACTAGACATGCATTCAAAGACTACATCAATAAGCATCTGAAAAACATAAATGAGCAATTTCTCCACTCTGCTGAAAAAACATGTCCACCAAAAGCAATTGCTGCATTTTCCTCCAAAATCAAATGTATTCACCTTTCAGTCACTTTAGAAATTAAAAGCATCTACATGCAAAGGTCGGGTTTCTGCGGGGTGCTCAGCAAACCTCGTCTGCCATCAGGACCAACCACACAACAGACAGACGCAAATTTAGATTTAGGCTAACACAGAACAGATTTGTGACAATATGAGGTCTATCCTTGTAGTTTTCTTTATTAGATTTCAGTAAGTAGAGTTTGCGTTTTATGAGGCAAAAATAAGGCAACTAGCTCAGGGAAAAAAAACTCTTTAGTCTCTAGAAAAAATAGCGTTTTTTCTGGGAGTCCTTTAAATTGTTTCATAAACCAAAAATGAAGTTTCATCTATGTTGAAGACTTGAGATATAAATTTAGTTATGATAATAAAGTATGCCTAGCTAAAGAATACCGAATTTCCTTGACCACGAACACATGGCCACTTGTAGAAACATGAATTAACTAGTCTTGTTTCTGGACACTATCTTTTCTAACTTGATTATAATTAGAAGTTTCAACTGAACAGAGCAATAAATCTCTCTACTTTACAAATACAAAATCTTGGGTTTTATTTCGCTCTCTCATAAACATTGCAGTCCTTTCTCTCCAGCTGCTTTTCAGTTTAAAACATATGTTTCTTTCAAAAATAACATTTACAAAGTACAGGATGTCATTGAGACTAATGGGAAAATGTGAATTAGTACATGAATTGTTGTTCAGTGTTAAATTTCTCGAGAGTGATAACAGTATTGGGTTATATAGAAAATGCCCTGGTTCTCAGGGAAAATGCAAAAGTATTCATGGTAAAGCAGCAAATATTTGCGAATTGCCTTCCAACTCTTCAGAGGGGAAAAGGGTGTGTGTAGAAAAGAGTTCAAGCATGTGGCAAAATGTTAATAATGGGAGTATTTAGGTGATGGGTATATGGGTGTTCACTGTACTATTCTTTCAGCTTTTCTGTAGTTTTGAATCTTTCAAATTAAAAATATTGGGAGGAGTAAAAGCTACCTTAAATTTCAGACAACCTGGCTGGCAATAAGCACAGGGCAGAACTTAGACAGTCACTAGTAACAACATGGAGGGGCACAGGGCTGTCCAACAGCAGCAGGACTACAGGTGCAGTATTTGCTCCACTGTACAATTTTAAGTCTACCATTCCATTTTCTTCTACAGTGAAAATGAAGATGTCAATTTCTTTTTAGATAAAAATGTAATATAAAACTTAGAAAAAAAATTGGTACCTGGAGATAACAGGTGACTTGCTGCCATTCATTGTATTTGTTCTTTCCCAAGGTTTTCTTGTTGGTTCTTTAAACATAAAGAACATAAGTTATTAAATATCCTAATGCTCCCAGAGTTATTGTAAAACAAATAAACTACCAAATACCATTATACAGATTAATATAATAATAGAGATTGCCCTGGCCGATTTTGCTCAGTGGTTAGAGCATCAGCCTGTGGACCAGAGCCGCAAGTTCAATTCCAGTCAACGGCATGTACCTCAGTTGTGGTTCGTCCCCGGCCCTGGTCAGGGTCACGCGGGAGGCAGCCAGTCAATGTGTCTCTCTCATATCGATGTTTCTCTCTCCCTCTCCCCCTTCTTCCCGCCCTTCCTCCCTCCATCCCTCCCTATCTGAAGATAAAAATATCCTCAGGTGAACATTTAAAATGATAATATAGGGTAAATAAAAAATTTTAAATTTCAATTCTGAACTTTAATTAAAGTCAATAAGGATTCTATTTTGAACAATTTCAGACCTTAAAATGAGAAGAATAAGCAAGTGTGACAAGTTTCCCTACGATATACTTAGATTGTTAAATTTAAAATACTGTAATTCTATACCTTGGATGGAAAACAGTTTCTCTAATAAAGATAGGCTAATCCGAATAAGATCAGGATATTTTTATTTAGTCAGAATGAAATAGTATAAATTATTTTAAATTAAGTTTAGTATAAGTTTATTAGACTGAAACAGTATTAACCATACTGTTATTTTTAGTGTCAACAGTAAAATAAAAAGTAAAATCTTTAATGTGTTTGTAAACAATATTTAATCTAAATTGAAATAGTCCTCTTGAAAAAAAAATCAAACAACTCAAAATAAATTTCAGAAATTCTATTGTAATTCTGTTGTACTTCCTTGATTCTCAAAGAATCCAATTCTTGGAACTTAACAGGCAATTAATTCAGTTAAATACAAATAAGTTTGCTCTAAGCTCCTACTATAAAAGATACTAAGTAGTGGCTCATGGTCAGCAGTCTATTGTGCTTTGAAATGTTTCTCTAATTTGGGCTGAATCGCTGATGCCAGCATTGGCCTCACGAAATGACTGGCTGAAATCAGAGCGGAATCTTGTCATGGAAAAGAGCATTTGGGCCACATGAGAATGAAGTCTAAGAATGAGTTGTGATCTTAGTGCACAGTTTTAACTAGGAAACTCCAAGTTCTGATGCTGCTCTTCAGCTGGCTTCTGCATATTCTTACTTAGGTGGTAGCTTGTTTTCTCTTCAAACTACACATATGCAAAACTAAACTCAAACTCTCCTGACACACAACTGTTGTTCTGGATTTCTATTGTATCCAGTCTAGGTGTAAAACCTTAAAGTCATCATTTCTCTTGCTTTACACATCAACCAATCATCAATTTCTCCCTTTTAAATTATACTTTGTATGCCTTCTTCTGTGTTTCAGCAGCTGGCACATTCTCTAAATGACCATCACAGAGTTGACAAGGGGACATCAAATAATCAGATAAGGAGATGAAACAGAAACACACCTAAGAGACATCTCCCAGAGCACGGGAAAGAGGGAAGTCCTGAATAAAACTGAAGGACAGACGGGGATGGTCATCAAGACACTGCTACCCAAGAGACAGGTGGAGAGATAAAGAAATAATTCCAACACGCGATGGTGTAACGAGTGCTAACGTTTAACCGATGGCTGAGGCCTTTCTCAATCAGCTCAACCATCTTTTAATCTTAAAAGGGCTCTTCTGTTCTGAGGAAGAGCAGTTCAGTTCAGCTGTGCAGGTAGTGAGGTAGTCCTCTCTCTAAGGGGCTCCAGGTCAGTTTCAGGAGGAAGGACAGAGGCTGGGTTCCCTACATCAGGTCTCTGGAAACACACTGGATCCTTACTGAGATGGTTTCCCTCTCTTGGTCCTCCCAGATTTCTATGTCACACTGCTCACAACTGCCATTTTTAATGGTCCTATAACAGTTTCAGATGATTGTTAACTCCCTCCTTGCAGGATTAAGTCTAAACTTCTAATCTTTTCATAAAAAACTCTCAACATTTTTGGTTCTAACTCACTTTTCCAACCTTTTTCCCCTTTACTCCTCAAAAAGAATTCTCCATTCTAGTCAGGCGAGAGTTACTGTTTCCTAGTCTCTTCTTGCTCATCTCCAGCTCCCTATCTGTGCAAATGTCATCCCTTCCTCTACATTCAGCCAAATTAATACTCTTCAACCCAGAGTAAGATGTCATTTTTCTCTAGAGATGACCCAGGCGACTCCAAACTACACAATATCCTCCCTCTTTGACACATCACTTAATATTAACATGTAGTTGTATAAGATCAACTTTTCAGTTGTGTGTGTGTTTCATCTTCCCAGCTGGACGATGAGATTCTGGTGCTCAGGCCTTTCTGGACTGTCAAGGGTCTGGCACAATGACAAATTTAAAAAACAAACAAACCTGAAATGAAACAACTGAAAAAAGAAGTCCCAACCCTTGTGAATGAATCCTTGATTTTATATATATGGCATTCCACATGCAAATACACACAAAATCCACACTTTAGCTTTCCATATTTTAAATAAGGGAGGCTTTATTAGATAAGGAATTGTTAATTTGGGGGCTCTATAGATAACCTTCAGGAAATTCTTGAAAATTTCAAAATTATGAGCAAATCTGTAAAAAAAAAAAAAAAAAAAAGATTTTTTTTCTCCCTAGGGAGAGGGTTCTTTGCCATTTTCAAATTTTAAAAGGTCTGTGACCCTATAGTTCAATTCTAAAACATCTATGGTCTTTATAACAGCATATATAGTTAATTTTGGCTTATAAAAGAAAGATAAAGCTAAAATGCGTCATAAATCAGATAATTTTTAATGAAGATAATATAAACTGACTTGAGTCCTATTCAGAGGAAAAACAAAGAGAGCTGAGGGAAAATATGTCACAAAGTTGTAATGTTAATTACAATATGAGCAGTCAGGCCACTGAATAGTCAATTCAATAATAAGATTAATTTTTTCTTTCCAAATGGGTTATAATCATAAAAATAAAAACAAAAGTATGTTTTCTAAAAAGCAAAATTCAGAGGCAGCTGGTAGGCTACAAGTTGAAATATGTAGAAATTAATATGAACGTTTCTCTATAATAATTTCCTATAAATTATTCTAAATATTAATTCAACAAAATTATCAAATTTATGTTGCTTCATTCCAAATTAGATGAGAAGGTGGATAGTTTAGCCTGAGTCTTTAAGTCAAATATGAAGAAATGACATGTGATTATGTAACAATTTCATTTCCCATCATGAACATAATACTCAAAAGTACCTCCAGTAAAAAATATTTTGTTAATACTCTAAGTAATATATTCTATACTCAAGAATTCTCAATGTCAAAAATTTCACTAAATTCAAAAACATTTCCCAAAAGTTTTAAGATTTTTTTCCTTACAATTAGCTTTATTTGCCTGGCTGGCATGGCTCAGTGGTTGAGCATCGACCCATGCATCAAGAGGCTGCTGGTTCAATTCCCAGTCAGGGCACATGCCCAGGTTGTAGGCCAAATTCCCTGTGGGGGGCATGCAGGAGGCGGCCAATCAATGTTCTCTCTCATTGATGTTTCTATCTCTCTCCCATCCCTTCCTCTCTCTCTAAAATCAATAAAGAAAAAAAAAATGAAAAGAACAAAAACAAATTAGCTTTATTTCCTAGATTATCACATAAATGGTTAAAATGACAACCTTCTCAATCTGAGAATGCTTTGAAATAGACTTTATGCTAGCTAACTTGCTCAATCTTTACCTTTAAGAATTAAAAATACTTCCCCCCTTTCATCTAATAATGTATTTTCTTTGTTTTAGTGATAACCTCAAATCACGATTAATGATACATACAAAATGTGCAAAAATTATGATTTTCAAAGAAAGAGTCATTAGAGAAAAACTTGGGGTTTTAATGGGTCTCCCAATAGCAAAAAGAAATTAACAGCTGCTTCTGGGACAACAAAAGGTGGAGGAAAAAAGTCAGTGCTTTCAAGTGTGAAGAGAAACTTGAACATTTTAGTGAACAAGCAGTCACTTAATCCAATCTCAGGGAAAGGGAGAGTATTACTATAGAGAGCAAGCTTATAAAGGTTAAAATATATCTCTTGAACTTACCAGGTGTACTTGTTGAAGAGGCCTTAGAAGTTACAGGCTCTGAATCTTCCTAAATACAGACATATATATTAGTAACAACACAAACCTGTTGCACATAGCGTTTATACTTCCATTTCCAATATTCTTTCTGCCATTTCCCACTATTTCCTTCATCCATCTTTAGACTCCTTCCTTCTCTTACCTTCCTAGCACTTGCCCCTCCTGTATCCCCAAAGCTTCTTTCCTCACCCGTTCTCCCTGAGAACTGCACTAGCCAATGTTAGCAGGTCAGATGTAAGAAATAGACTTGGGTCTGGCCGGTGTGGTTTAGCGGTTGAGCGTCGACCCACGCACCAAGAGGTCGCCAGTTAGATTACCGGTTAGGGCACATGCCCAGGTTGTGGGCCCGATCCACAGTGGGGGGCATGCAGGAGGTGGCCAATTGATGTTCTCTCCCATCGATGTTTCTATCTCTCTCCCTTTCACTTCCTCTCTCTCTAAAATCAATAAAGGAAAACAAATTTGGAAAAAAAAAGAAATAGACTTGGGGAATGGCATCACAGAAGGCCAAATGTAGCAGGAAAAACAATTCTGTGATTTGTGAAACACAATCTACAGAACAGATAAAGCAGAGTTTGTCCACCTGAACTGGGGAGGGAGGCTAAGAACCACAAGGCTCCTAGGGGAAACATTTGAACACTGTTGATTTAGTCTTTTCCTTCATTTTAAATGTAAGAAAATGGAAAGCTTAAGAGTAAAAACAAGCCCTGGCTGGTGTGGCTCAGCGGCTGGGGCATCGGCCTGCAGACCAGAGAGTCTCAGGTTCGCTTCCGGTCATGGGCACATACCTCAGTTGCAATCCATCCCCGGCCCTGGTCAGGGTGGTGCAGGAAGCAACCAGTTGATATGTCTCTCTCAAGTTGAAGTCTCTTTCTCCCTCCCTCCCTCTCTTTCCCTTCCTCCCACTCTATCTGAGATAAATGGAGAGGTATCCTCAAGTAAGGATTTAAAAAAAAGAGTAAAAAACAACAAAACAAAATGACAACAAAAACTAGTACAAGATCATTCACTCCTTTAAAACGGACAGGTACAGAACTAAACTCTATAGAGGCTTGAACCTAGGGCTTTCCCCACAGGTCTACTTATTCAATCCATTTCACTAGGAATGTCATTAAAAATTTATAAATAATACTCATAACAAGCTATTTTACTATCTGAAGAGTAACAAATACAAGCAATTTTAAGTTCACATTAATCTCTGACACAATTTCCTGAATGAGCTGTGTGTTTTGACTCTCATACTTCTAGGTATGTAGACTGTCTTTATTAACTTACATTTTTCTCCTCTTTTTGTTCTGTTTCTATTATTGACCCCTTTTCAGCAATTCTTCTCCTAAAAAGAAGGTAAATTGTTTTTGTTTTTAAAAATCATCTAATTCTTAGTATAAAAACTACTTCCAAAGAGAGGAACTGCATCCAGTTACATTATATTTGGAATAAAATTAAGAAAATACTCTCAATTCTGGACATGTCCACATAATCTGTCACTTACCTCCTGGCCAGCAGGGCACTCATTTCTTCCATTAAACCACTACCCCCCAAAGGAAGGGGTCCATTTCCACGACCTGTGTCTGTTTTAGATGAGGCCGAATTCACACCAACGGTATTGCCCCCGCTTGGGAAAGAGGCATCCTCCATCTTAACAAAACATACATACATAACAAACTCCAGTGTTAAACAATACTGTGTTTATTACTATAATATAGTCAAAACAGAAGAATATAGCAGCATTAATTTCAAGAAAACATCTATTTTTAAATCTTCTTAAGAACCAATGGGGTGAATAGCATTTACCTTACATAGCAATAGAAGTTTTCTCGAAGTTAAAAGACCAATAATGAGGAAAACTGGTGTGTGATGCACTGAAAAGGACATACTACTTTGGTAGTTAAAGAATGAATAACCTGAATCTAATCTTGAGGAAACATCAGATAAACCAAACTAAAGGATGAGATACAAAATAATTATTTTGAAGCCATCAAAAATGTCAATAACATGAAAGATTGAGGAATTGTTACGCTATATTATTTTTGCAACTTTTCTGTAAATTTAAATTCTTCCAATTAAAAAAAAACCAATGACATTATTAACATAGGATCCATAAAATTAGAGCACGATAAAGTCAGTATTTAGGTATTGAGGAAGAACAAGATATGCATAAAAAATACAATAATTTGGAAACACATTTACCCGTGACACTTTCCTAAGCTTTGCTCCAGCAATTGCAGCTGCCAGTCCAGTCAAGGGGCGATTGTCTTCTGACATGGATCCCACAAAAAATCCAGATGCAGGGAGGGGAGGAGCAGGAGGCGGGGGAGGAGGGGGTACCTGGTTAGGAAGAGGGGGGGGCGGAGGGGGAGGAGGAGGCCCTGAGGAGGGAAGTGGAGGAGGAGGAGGGGGGGGTCCTGGAGGAGGAGGAAGTGCCCCTGAAGCCTGGGCAGGACCTGGTGGGAGTGGAGGAGGGGGTGGAGGTGCAGGTGGTCCCAAGACAATGCCTGAGAGAAAGAAATGTAAAATGAGACCATCAACAATAGAACTAAATGACAGTACCTTATATGGAACCGTAGGTAGAATGTCATGTTACATTAAATCAATGACTCAAACATTTGCTACATAGTAATAAGTTGATTTATCATAATGTTGAAAGTCTAGGTCAGTATTAAAAAGATACTAAAATGTAAAGCCAATGTGTACTGCTACTTACTTTAATGTTAGAGCTTTATTAATAGAACTATGCAACAGATCATCTAATTCAAATTTCTTTTTTGTTTGTTTAGTAAACAAAATAAATGCTTATAAAATTTGGAAGAGAATCAACATCCCTAAACAGCAACAACAAACAGTACATACAATAGCAGTTAGTACTATCTGAAATAACAGACCCAAATAATCTGTGCAAACCTTAAGTGTTGAGACAATAAATTCTACAATAGTGAAGACATATATTTTCTTGTTTATAGACAGCCAAAGTGGTTAGGCTGAGAACGTGAAGGATGGTGGGTTCCAGGTATCAGCATCTTAAATTATTCCACATCGAATTCCAATGGGTAGCGAGAATAGAGAACCACTGAAAGAATCTACTAGTACAAAGTAAAACCTCAAAATAACTATGAGAAATCATTAATGACACAGAAGTTAAAGAACAGAGGTTTTTTAGCCTACAAGAGGGGGTAAGAGAAAAATGTCCAATTCTTCTAAAATCACAGAGAGTGAACAAGACCTTAATATCAGAAAAGGGGTGTTTCAGGACAAATAAAATGCTATTTGCACACTGAGAGGTACCTCTTTTGAAACTGCTACCTTTGAGTAGTTACACAGGCTGAAAACATAAGTTGCCTCAAGACAAGTACAGAATATTGAGCTGTCAATCTTCCAGGGGTTATCAAAGCTCTAAGGATATGGCAGGTAGGCTGTCTGGGCTGATCAGGCTAATTGTGCCTCTCTTGTCCAACATTACTGTCACAGTGACACTGAACTAGAATTCTGACTCAAAATGTTTATGCAAATTCAAGAAGTCAACAAGAAAGATACATAGAGCAGCAATAAATTAGACTTTTTACTTTATCTTGAGAACAAAGATTTTTTTAAAAGGTGTGTTTAAATCCAGACTATAACAGTTTCTTTGTAAGTACTAATTCACTGTCCTAGTCCTTTCTGTAATTCTCACTAAATTTTATTTTAAAAGGGGGGGCAGAGTTTGCAAAGCAACTTCTTATTTACTTACAGAGCTAGGTCCTTCTCAACTTAGAAATAATCCATACTTAGAAGATTACATCCTCCCTTCCCTGTTACCATGACAGCAAGGTTCAGGCATGGGGGGAGGAATAATTGTAGAATACGCTATTCTCTCTCAACTATCCCTTTAGCCCACCGTGTCTTGTACTCCTGGACCATGGAACCCTTTGGGGCAGATACCACGCCCATCACCCTCCCCACCCATTCCTGTAAAGTCAAGCTCTCCATAGGGGTTAGGGAGGCACCATCCTTAGAAGTCCAATATGGGAAGCCCAACACAGGAAAGAAAGGCTGAGAGAAAACAGGGTCCAAGAATGGAACTGTTACAGAGGAAACTCCAGGATGATATATGTAATGTCTACAACTGAGCACCAAATAGATCTCTAAGTTTTCCAGAAATGAAAGTTAGATCACGTATTTATTGTGTAGATTAAGTATGTCACGTAAGTTTTTTCAGTGAAATTTAAAGAAGTGTATTAAGGAGGCCCTTAAATACTGCAAAACACTTCCAATTAGGATCCTGCCAAAGATACTGAAATCTAGTTCAATACAGAAATTCCTCATATTGATCCTCCAAATGCAATTAATCCAACAGGAAATAAAACCACTTAAATTTTGTAAATTAGAATATGGTACTATGGCATAAGTATGTTCAAATATCAAAACCACCCTCCCCACTCTCCTAGGCAGTTCCCCTTGTGACATGTACTATTTTCAAGTGATGAGCTGTGAGCAGCAATAACGGAAGCCTTACCAGGTGGGGCTGGAGTCTCGGCCGGCTGAGAGGCTGCCTGCAAGCCTGGCTCAGAAGCAGAGGAGTCTCCCAGCACAGAGTTTAGAGGAGTCTCCACAGAGGCAGGGGCAGCTGCAGAGGGAGAAGGGAGAACACTAGGCTTGGATGAGGGAGTCGAGGCAATAGGGGTGCTTGGAGGAGGAGAAGCTTGAGGTCCACAGTGTGACAGTGGTGCGAGGGGAGGCAGTGGTGGCAGCGGCGCTGGCCCTGAGGTAGGCGGTGGAGACACTGGATATGTGACAGAGTCAAGCAGCCCATTCGGTGCTGTTGGTGATGGAGGCATTTGGGGCACAGGAGAAGAGACACAAACAGGGAGGACAGGCCTTGGACCAGTAGCTTTGCCTGGGGGGCTGCTAATCATTACTGGAGGAGATGGAGGGAGGGGCGGAAAACTGGAAGCAGACCAGGCACAGGGCTTCGGAGCTGGAGGCTGAGAAGAGGGTGTGTTCACAGGAGAAGAAGGCCGAGAGTTTTTGTTCATAGGACGAGGAGCTGTAGCGTAATGGGGAAGAACAGGGTGGAAGGCTGACCCTAGAGAGGTTGCAAAACGTGTCGCTGAGTGTCGAAGTGGTGGTGTAGGGGGTGTGGAAGTAGGTGGCAAAGTGGTCACTACAGCATAATCAGGAGTGGCCTCTGACACTGGAGCGGAGATGACTTTAGCGTGGGATGGAGGAGGTGCTGAAGGAGGCTGGCAACTGGCATAGTCGGGAAGTGGAGCGCTATACAGGGAGCTGTCGGAAGGTGGTGCTGGACAGAGGTGGAAAGCAGCAGCGAGAGACAGGATAAAAAAGGAGAGAGAAAAAGGGAGCTAGTAAAGCCACAAAACCAGCATTCAGACAAAATGTATAAAAGTAGACTACAGTTAGTACAGAGAATTAGGCACGTGTGCAAATAACTGATTCCCACCCAAGAATGTTTTCACTCAAAAATGCACTGAGATCCAGAAGAGGATGAAATACGTTTGCTTTTGATCTAATAAGTAGATTGATAAACTAAACTGATTAGCTTATCCTTCACAAGAAAAACATAGTACCCGTAGTCTTACTTTTCCTTATTTAGCCCACCAAAAGGACATTAAGATCATGCAAACGACCACAATTTAGAAGACTAAATTCAGCTGTTTTTGTTTTTTTTAAACAACAAAAAGCCAAACTGGCAAATATTTGTTATAAAGTGCTGGGAACACCTATTCAATGCTTACTCGTGGGAAAGTTTTTTTTCTGTTGGCTATAACCCCAGAAAATAATTAGGCAGATAAAGGCAAATAATTAATTCAAACAACAAACCAATCAACCAATATTTAATCAACCCACACTAAGACTTTTCATATAGGCCATATGGAATAAAAACTAATTCTTAAACCCTATAATAAATGTTAATTTTAATGAATGTACAAAGACCTCAAATTGTCAGTCATATCTTAACCTGTGGGTCTTTCAATAAATTCCATCACTTAGTAATTTTCACAATACTAAAAAAAAATACCAAAATAATTAGTTTTAGATAGGATATTTTTCACCTACTGTTTTTAATTCCTCCTTCAAAAATTTAGGACTACAATCTTGCTGAATGGCACCATAATACTGAAGTATGCAAGACGATTCAAGCAACCTCAAAAGGGAAATATAGTCCAAGCTCCTCTAATATAAAAAAATTTCATAAAAACACTTATACTTTATAGCCAATTTATAGGGAGTTGGAAGAATTAGAATGCTAAAATAAAAATCTCCAAGAGCCTTCTTTAAGTCTCCAAGCAATAAAAGCAATAGAGAGAAATAAAAAGAAAATGTTAAAGTAGCAATTGCTGTGTATTTTTCATAATTTCCAATCATATTGCTTAATCCCAAGCATCTCAAGTGTGAAATATTCTAATATATGACTGCATCAAATACCATCCATCATCCAAGTTCAGATACTAAGAACACAGAATAATGTGCAAACTTCTTACCAGTGTTTGATATTCTCCGCTCCCGTTCCCATTCCAGCTGTTCCCTTTCTAACTGTTCCTGGCGCTCTCTCTCTTGTCTTTCGCGGTCCAGTCTCTCGCGCTCTTGTCTCTCCCGCTCTAGGCGGTCCTGCCGCTCCCGCTCCCGTTCTTGTCTCTCTCTTTCCAGCTGTTCTTGTTCTAGGCGCTCCCTCTCCAGCCTCTCCCTTTCTGACCTCTCCCTCTCCAATCTCTCCCTCTCCATCCTTTCTCTCTCCAGCCTTTCCCGCTCCAGCTCTTTCTGTCGCTGCTGTTCTTGAAGTTGCCTGAAATTTAAAAAAAAATTTTAAATATGCAACTATGATGCCCTGGCTGGTTTGGCTCAGTGGTTAGGGTGTCAGCCCGAGAACCAAAGAGTTGCGGGTTCGATTCCGGACAAGGGCACGTACCTAGGTTACAGTTTGTCCCCAGCCCTGGTTGGGGTTGTGTGGGAGACAACCAGTCGATGTGTGTGTCTCTCTCTCCCCTCCTCCCTCCCTCCTACTCTACCTGAAGATGGATGGAAGAATATCCTTGGGTGAGGATTGAAAAAAATAAAAATCAATAAATATGCAACCATAGCTAATCATAAAAAACATATTTCTTTTACAATGAACCAATGTGAACCTCATTTCTGACACAAATACAAAGCCATGTAAAGTATGCTCAGCATCTCTCCCCCACATGAAGAAAGGCTACTTTGGATAGAGATGACTTGTGAGTCTCATATAAATGACAGTAATTTCTCTTGGTAGGATCATTTTTGGCTGACTGCTTCAGCACATTACACTGATATCTCATTTTATTCTGTACTTGTCACAAATGAATGTGTTGCAGATAAATGGAGTTTCCGGATTCCATTTTAATGAACAAGGCATTATTTTAATCACTCAATCAAAAAATTTCTAAATTTTCATTTTCTCCCCAAAACATGACACCAAACCTTCATTGTACAAGTAAAATATTATCATTTTAGAAAATGCAATGGCTGGTCATAGGAACAGCTAAATAAAAATTTCCTAAATGAAAAAAACAAACAAAAAACACCAAAATTAAGTAAGAAGAAAAGAAAGTTTAAGTCATTTTGAGTGTCATATCGAGAGGGGAACTATAATTAACATTTTGGCATTCATACTTCCAGACTTTTCCTTATGTAAAAATATACATGTAAACTCTAAAGAAAATCAAACAAATAAATAGAATAATACTTACCTACCATTCTAAAATCTGTTTTCTTCTCTCCCATTTTATATACTATAGAAGGTATCCTAAGGCCCTAAGTATAAGTTTGCATCTTTATTTTTCGTGACTGCATAGTATTTCAGTTTATCTGTCCATATTTTAAGCAGCAGGATATGTTAGAGTAACACTATTACTATTACCGCAATAAAAGTGTTATCTTCAAATTCTTTCTAATTGCGTCTTAAGGATCACTACTGACACATATTTGCTAGGTGAAAGATTTAAGTTCTGTTTTGTAATATGACTTTTAATTTTCATGTAGGAAATCTAGTAGCAGTATTCTCTTCTGTGATCTGCCTTGGATACCCTTCTCAGGCAGCCCTTTTGCACCAACACTTTCTTTTAATACTTTTACAATGAAATCCTTAGTTCATCTGAAACTCATCTTGGGTTTGAGATGTGAAGTAGTGCTATACTTCACACACCATTTATTGATAGTTGATAGCCCTAATTTGAGATGCCACCTTTATATGTGTTGACTATTTCTGAACTTCCAGAATGTGTTGGTTCATAGGTCCGTTTTTCTAGTATGGCACCAAAATCGTGACGCTTTCATATCTGATATATACTCACTTCAAATCTGGTAAATTTAAATCCTGACTACTCTTCTTGTATTAAAAACCTAAGAGGCCTATTGTATGTGGCTCTAAAACACACAATTTGCTTATTACCTTCCATACACATACATAAAAAATGTCCCCAAGTCCCCACCTGGACCTAAATGGTATCCTTGCTTATAAAAGTTAACTCTCCAAAAAATAAAAAAGTATCCTCATCTTACACATATTTATTTCACAGCATTGTGAATGAAGTAATGTCTTAAAATTCCTTTAAAAAGTACCTGGAACATCAGACCACTCCATAGCTGTGAGCTCTAATAATAATTATTTAGAAATTTCAAATTGGGACTTTCCCTAGCCTGGCTAATAAACTGGCCGGGTTGGCCTTATAGGTAGAACTAAGTGACAGAATGTTATGCGATCCTTCATTCCTCCCAGCAGCATCAGTAAATCAATTACCTTTCCAGTCATCTCTCCCCTTCATGCTTCCTAAACTGACCATAACACAAAGCCCACTTGATGAGTAAATTAATCCCACTTCTCTCATAAAAACACAAAGCCTCTCTCTGAACAGATCACCATACTTAACAATAACTGCAAGAGAAAACCAGAAGAAACCTATGCTAGTGCTTATTATGAGTAGTAATTGTTTAGGGCACTGACTACTAAGTAATCAAATCAGATTTTTAGGATACAGTACTCCCTTCATTGTGCTTTTTGATACACCGCTAGCTACCAAGTTTCTGAGGAATGACGGTATCATTGCAGAGATGAGGGCAAGAAATTAGATATATTCAGAAGACTATTTTAAAAAATAAACTAGACAGACAAAGTCATTTATTATTTTTTTAATAACCTGCATCTAATGAATAAACTCAGCTATATTAAATTGAAAACACACAACATGTCTTTTTTTTAAAAGGGCATTTTAAATGTAATACTCTAAGCAATCTATTGGGTCCAAAAGGCAAACGAAATACCCATATTTTTCTAATTAGAATATATCTGAATACAGAAGCTCAGGGAAAGTGCCTCACTTTAGATCACTTTAGTAGCTACATTGAGTAATTAATGATGAAAAGATCCAGGTTACTGGGTCCTTTCACATCTCTGTGCCACCTCCTACATTTTCATTTATTCCAAATAATATAAGCACAGGGTTTTTAATATAACAAAACCAGTAGTAGTTCAATGCTCCAACCCTCCCACCCATTTCCAACACATCAGACAATTACTGTCAACTCTGGATGTTTCTGATGTTTTCACTTTAGATATTATCTACTAACTTTCTAATAAGAAGATGTCTTCTCCAACTCCCTCTCTACACACAAGTTTCTTCCAATACAGTCATGGGAGAATACTGATTTCTGCTGGTTAAACCAATATTCTGCATTTATGATTCACATGGCAATGTAAATACTGCTCACAGTTGAACCACATAGCATTCTAAGACTATACCTCATTTTTCACTCTTAGTTTTTTTTAACCCCCAAGTTAATGGCTGCTTCTCTAAGAAATACAATGCTTTTATTTATTTATTTTTCTTTATTGGCTTGAGAGAGAGAGAGAGAGAGAGAGAGAGAGAGAGAAAGAGAGAGAGAAACATCGATGAGAGAGAACATCCATTGGCCACCTCCTGCATGCCACACACTGGGGATTTGGCCCACAACCTGGGCATGTGCCCTGACCGGGAATAGAACTGGCAACCTCTTGGTGCATGGGTTGATGCTCAACCATTGAGCTATGCCAGCCGGATGAAATACAATGCTTTTAAACACAAAAAGTTGAAGTCACAGGAAGAAGGCCAGGTATGAGTGAAGTGAATCTAAAAGAATTACTGAACGAGCCCTGGCCTGTTTGGCTCAGCAGTTAGAGCGTCGGCCTGCAGTCCAGAGAGACCCGGGTTCCATTCCCGCTAAGGGCACGTACCTTGGTTGCAGTTTGTCCCTGGCCCTGGCTGGGTTGTGTGGGTGGTAGCCACTCGATGTGTCCCTTTCACGTCGATATTTCTCTCTCTCTCTATCTCTATCTCTCTCTCTCTCTCTCTCTCTCTCTCTCTTCCCCTCTATCTGAACAAAAAAATGTTCTTGGATGAGAATTAAAAAAAAAAAAAAATTACCGAATGATGGGCCTTTACAACTAAGGGTGTCCTGACTTCAGAAGATTGTTCCATATGTCATAATATTCTAGGGTTTTAGTCTGTAAAAGACAGAGAGTATCGCCTAGCTTGTGTGGCTCACTGGTTGAGCATCAACCCACGCACAGAGAGTCGCCAGTTCGATTCCTGATCAGGGCAGGAAGCATGCAGGAGACGGCCAATCAATGTTCTCTCTGATTGATGTTTCTATCTATCTCTCCCTTCCTCTCTCTCTAAAAATCAATAAAGAAAAAAAAAAAAGTTAAAAAAAAAAAAGATAAAGAGTGTCTACTGATGTAAGAAAAGAGCACAATGCCAGAGAGATTTCCCAAGTTCACTGACAGATGGTTGAAGTACACAGTTCATACAGCTGTGGGACACTCTGCTAACTGGGTATTTTCTTGATTTGAGGGTAAGAAAGGAAAGAGTCCTAGCTAATTTTCAGCCTGCTCACTAAATTGATGCGCATCTAACTGTATTTCCCAAAGTAATGTGTCAAACAGAAAATTTTAGGGCTACAAATCTTTAATGGCAGGAATAATTTTCACCTAAACTGGATGGTATATAACTACCAACTTCCGTGTCCTCTATAGTGGGGCTTTGAATACATTTTTATGGGACGGTTTAGAAACGCATTAACCCACTTTTTCTTAGAAGTAACACTGCCGACTCACAGACAGGAGACACGTGACTCCTCTTCCTCGAGTTCTACCTACAACAGACTGTTCTCTCCACTCACTAATACAGTTGTTTGTGTGGAGAACAACGTAACATTTAATAAATATTAATAAATGAATGAACTCTGTTTTGCATACTCACCACTATAAACCTACTTTTGTCCTACTCTGTAGAATCATCTGGAGACTTTTTGAAGTATAAAAGCCCTAATTCTGAACTATGAAAAAATTCTGGCAGACTTCTGTTTTTGAAGTGAGAAAATGCATTTCAAAATAATCTGAAAAAATCTATTTTCTCAGAAACAATTATAGTGCTAATGACCAACATTACAGCCACGAATATTTATTTATTTATTTATTTATTTATTTAATGAATTTTTATTTATTTTTTTGTTACAGATATTTTACCTTTTTACCCCATTGGTACCCCCCACCCCACCCCACCCCCACCCTGTCCCCGGCTTAGTTGTCCATGTCCATTGGTCATGCACACATGCATATAAGTTCTGTGGTTTATCTCTTCCCATCCCCCCATCCCCCCATCCCCTCTTCTGAGGGATGTCAGTCTGTGCCCTACTTCCATGTGTCTGGGTCTACTGTATTCCTCAGACTGTTATGTTCATTATATTCCGTATATAAGTGAGATCATGTGGTATTTGTCTTTTTCTGCTTGTACAGCCACGAATATTTAAAAAATAATATCAGAAATAGTTCCCACCACCACCAAATTATCTATTTCTCTCCTCCAAAAGAAGTATCCCCAAATATAAAGAAATGTACAAAGCACTGATCAACGAGATTAATAGCTTTTATATATATATTCAAACGCATATTTGGTTTATGTTGACTCAAAGATTGATTTTTTTAAGCAAGCCAAATATAAATAACAATATTCATAACTGCATTTCACTCAGCCTTACCTATAACAAATAAAGAAATAAAAGAGTGGTTTAAATTTTGACAAAATAAGCAAACAAAAGATAGGAAGAAAAGTTCTGGGTTGATAACATTCATAACACTGTAATATTACTGACATTTGTCAGAAAAAAATGAATAAATATGTTTTCATAATATAATGTGGGAATTTCACATCTCTATTAGTAAACAAATGAAAACTGAAAAAACTAAACAAAATAACCAAGTTTTAATATTAGGAAGCACCTGAGACGGGCAACACTTACAGGAGAAGGCGGTCAACTCGAGGTCCATCCTGCCTCTGAAGACTAAGCTGAGACCTGTACACTTTCATTGCTCCAACTCCCCGTTTCTATGCTAAGATTATTATTCCCCTTTTATAAGTTTCAGGTAGTAGTGGTGATTGGCAAGCTATTTATACACATTATCTAAATTAAGTTCTATGTTGAGACTAACATAAGACTGACTCATGTTACTCAGAATATGTTTTTTCATCACAGTCAGGCAAGGAAACCAAATATTAATGAGTAGGAATCAAAAATTGTATTAGAAGTGATACATATATGAATAGAAAACTAAACTATACTATCATCATGTTACTATTGTAAAAGTATTGAACTTGCAAGATTTATATCTAAAGTAAACATTCATTTTATCAACTTAATTTCAACCTTATTAAAAATTTTTTTTATCCTTACCCTAGGACATTCTTCCACTTTTTGTTCAGATAGAGTGGGAAGGAGAGAGGAAGAGAAAGGGAGGAAGGGAGAGAGAGAGAGAAAGAAACATCAACATGAAAGAGACACAATGAGTGGCTGCCTCCCGCATGACCCAACCAGGGCTGGGGACAAACTGCAACCGAGGTACGTGCCCCTAGGGGGAACCGAACCTGGGTCTCTCAGGACCACAGGCCGACACTCTAACTGCTGAGCCAAACCGGCCAGGGCTCAACTTCATTAAAAATTAAACTTGATAGCCCTGGCCAGTTGCTCAGTGGTTAGTGCATCCGCTCTCAGACCAGGGCATGTACCTAGGTTGCAGGTTCAATGTCTGGTTCGGGTCGAGATCATGTGGGAGGCAACCACTTCATGTTTCTCTCTCTTCCTCCCTGTCTCCCTTTCTCTCCTCCTCCCCCCCTTCCACTCTATCTAAACAAATAAATAAATGGAAAAATATCCTTGGGTAAAGATTAACAACAACAAAAAAAGACTTACTTTGTATGTCTTTTTCATTTGTCATTTTTATGGTATTTTACATAAGTACTTATACACCACAGAGGATCAGCTATTTTATTTTAAAGCCCAGGCCCTCACGAGAGAGGCTCAAGGGCCCTAGGTCAGACCCAAATCCAACTCTCCCTGGTTAAATCCTCAGTGTTTGGTAAGTGAAGAAATCTTTCTTGTTCATTGTAGACAGTCAATAGCTACTATCTACAACTTGATTAATCAAGAAACAGAAAAACATAAACATATTACTTAGTGTTATTAGGAAGCCATCAAAAGCACTAAAAGTAAAAATGTTTAAAAGTGTTTCATTTGTGCCGTGGCCAGTTTGGCTCGGTGGTTAGAGCGTCGGCCCGCGGTCCAGAGCAACTCGGGTTCGGTTCCCGCTAAAGGCGGTCCGTGCCTCGGTTGCAGTTTGTCCCCAGCCCTGGTTGGTCATGCGGGTGGCAGCCACTCAATGTGTCTCTTTCACGTCGATGTTTCTTTCTCTTTCTCTCTCTCTCTCTCCCCCTCCCACTCTATCTGAACAAAAAATGGGAAAATGTCCTCGGGTGAGGATTAAAAAAAAAAAAAGTGTTTCATTTGTTCAGCAAATTATCTGACTGTTTTAGACCCTCCTGGACTGTTGGAGATTTGCTTTGCTGTGTGCAAAATGTTTTTAAAAAATTAACCTGGCAAAGTAAAGTAGGAATAATGGAAAGGGATCTTGCTTAAAGACATAAAAATCACCTAAAAAACTATAGCAGTACCTAAGAGAATAAATACTGGAGAAAGCTATTAGTAATGAGAATGTGAGAAAAGTAAATTCAAAAGGCTTTTAGAGAAAGAAATAACGAAGTATAGAAGACTGTGAGTGAAGATAATTACAGACTCTCTAAGCTAAAATTTTAGGAGAAATATGAAAGAGAAGAAGGACTGCGCATTAAGAATGAAATCATAAAGGTTACAATTGAGATGTCAGTAGGATACCCAAATGGATGAGCTCTACAACAGGAATTCTCATTGAGGATTCACTGGTGGAAGTTAGGGGATCTGTGACCCTCTGAAACAGTATGCAGGTTTGCATGTAAATGCAAACGCATGTGTGTACACACACAGATATCTGAAGGGTTGGTGGCTGGATAGAAAAAGGCAGCAGTCTACTGCTTTCACCAAATTCTCAAAAGGATCCACACCTCACCGCATTTAAACGGAAATATGGGCCTGGACCTCAAGGGCATGATCACAGTGAGAGCTGTAGATTTTGAAGCCATCGGCATAAAAGAGTTAAGAGAACACTACAATATCCAACCAAATCATCAATTTTTCAAAGAGTATACTGTGTACAGGGAGAAAAAGGATAGCTACGTGCAAGGCCTCATGTATTTAACAACAACAAAAAAAGGTACAGAAAGGAAGAACAACAAAAAAGAAGAGACACTAAAGTATCAAAAGGAAGGTAGAAAACTTAAACTAGAAGTGAAGCAGCATGTCTAGCGGATTTGTGGAGACACAAAGCAAATTTCATGAGATTAAAAAGAAAATGGGTGGAGAGTGAAGGAATAGAGATACAATTAATATTGAGAGAGAAACTGATTTGGAAGGTTTACCTAAAAAGAAGAAGAGACTATGCTTGGCTGTGGACAGAAAAAAATTTACAAATCCATACCAACTTTTCAGAAATGTGGATTTCACTCTTCAAAATGACTAAGCTAAAGTCTTCAACTAAACAAGTAAGTTATATAAACAGCATCTCCAATTTTCAAACCCTTAAGTATCTACTTACAAACAGAAAAACCTGAAGTCCAGACGAGCACCGCTAGGGCTGGCACTTTGGAGAAAAATATCTGAGGCATGGAGTTTTCATAACAATACTCATTTCCAACTAAAACTGCATGCTGCGAGTTCCTGGAAACCTTCTGTGCGGTGGATCACCCATTTGTGACCCATAACAAGCCAGCAGTCCCTTAGATGGTTTCTGTTTCTATTCTGCATTGTCCTGGCCTCTAGCACGTCTCAGATTACTTACTTGCCCACTCTGTATTAACCGAAATTATGAATTATGTTTTGGGTTTTCTCCTGGTTCTTCCTAGTTTTCTATAAATGTGTTAGTCCCAATAATACTATGATCATTTTTTATTAATTACTTTCCTGGGGGTGAGCGTGTGTGTGCGCGCGCGTGTGCACGTGTACAATATCATTAGTTTCTAACTCTTAGAATTATTCTATGTTTAAAACTCTCAATATGGAACTGAAATTATTATATCTAAGCTTTCCTTATTTCTACAGAAATGTAATTTTATTTATAAAATGTTAATTACAGCATCACTCAAAAGAGTTAGATTTTCCCCAAATTTGAAGGCCATTTCAGGAGTGATCTATGTGAATATATAGGCTGTGCCCCCACCAAATTATTTTGGGAGATCCTGGAGGGCCATCCTCAAGATATAAATAGTTCTACGCCAAAACAGCGGACATGCAACCATGGCAAGAGATTCCTTTGACTGTTTTTCAGGGAAACATGACACATGTTAAGAAAATTTAAGATCCAAGTTAGTCACGTGAAAGCCATAATGATCACAGATTAATTTATAACTACTATAAAAAAAAGACTCCTGGAGTATAAATATATTTTTATGTTATTTAAAATATTTAAACTTACATGAGTATGATTTTTACAATTAAGCAGATAATAAACTTTTAATAACATCTTTTGAACAGCATAACAAGAATCTGCTCAAAAAAAAAAAAAAAAGAATCTGCTCGTTTATTAATGAAGATTCTAAAACTTAATAGTATCAATAAAAGTTCTAACTTTCAAATGACTGACGAGGCATAATCCATTTTCAATAATAGGATGGTCACAGTTTGGTCTTCCACAGCAGAATGAAAAAGTATAAACAATAACTGGCAAATTTACCTTCTTTGAATTTCCAATTCTTCTTGTGATGGGCCATTTTGAACTTGGGCAGGTAGTTGTGAATTTTGTCTAGGCAATGTTGGCCCTAAAAAGGGAGGAAAACATTATAGATGAACATAATCTTGATATTTAGCTGGCTAGAGATAAAACCATGAGAATAACATAAAACCATCACATATTTGCAAATGTATCTTCTTTTTGTTTAGCAAAATAAAATATAAGCTTTACATAACACAACAGCAAATGAAAGACTGCAACATAATACTGTCATCACCTCCAAAGGCTTACTTGAAACAAATGAAAAACATCAACAATAAAGGAAAGATGAACATTTATATATATGAAGAGCTTGAGTAAAACAAGTGTTTGATGGGCATCTGGATAGGTGCCTGAGCTTGACATTTTCTAAGACAATGAGACATTCTCTTAGGGGTACTTATTCATGAAGTGGGGAGGGAGAACTTAAATGAAAAATCAGAATTCAAAAACTCACCTAAATAGAACACTGGAAATGAAAAACAGGAGAGAGAGAGCATGAGAACCTTATTACTAGACTGATATATGCTAATGCATTTATCAAATTTGCTCAATTTAAGCTGCCATTCTTATTTAATGGCCTGGCATTGAGCACTGGTGAAAAAAACAAAAAAAAAAAACAAAAACAAACAAACAAACAAAAAAAAACATTTGCTAAACTTAATATATAATTAACCTATTTATCTGAATTTTTAACGAAACAAAGGCAATCTTAACTTTTCATCTGGGGTATAAAAACAAAACAAAACAAAACCTGCATTCAAATCAACATGGTTCTGTCATGAAAAACTAATGATCATCCATTCCCACATATCATGTACAAGGCAGACCCATTTTTAGCATCTGATAAAGAATGCAGCTAAATTACGGGACATTTTAATATCGCTGGATATAAAAATTAAATGTGTCATAAAATGAGATAAATACTGGACCTAATATATAATGCCGAGGGTTACAACAGAACAGTTTTGAAATCTAATCCAGTAAATAAGAGAATAAAGAAATAATTGTTTCACTCTTGGGGAGAAAGATATGAGTAATAATATGCTTGCATATCTGTGAATTCTAGTATGCCAGCAAATGCCCCTAGCAGGTATCTTAAGTGTTTCATAGACCAATAATATAAAAAAAGTTAATAAATAAATGCTTCTAAAGTTAATTTTTACAATCTACAAAGTAACAGTTCAAACTATTTTATACTAGTGGAGTAGACTTCTCAACCAGAAGAATAAGGTTCATTCGAATGAAATATAGAACTGGTTTATCCCAGGTGTGGAAAAAAACAAATAATTTGATCTGAACTTACCTACTATTTTTTCCTTATCTCTTTACATATATTTTTACATTAATCATTTAATTTGTCCTCTGAAGACAAATTAGATGGCAATTGCAGTGATATATTTCTTAGATTTCTTAAGAGTTTGCTATTTTGAGAACCACATAAAGAAAATATAAAAATACACCAACCCCATGTAATCAGTAACAAAAAATAAAAAAAACTTTTAAAATTAAATACACACGTAAAAGTATGCATAAATGAAACTATGTAACTTGGCTAGTGAACAGACTGGAATTCTTTCCTTCTTTAGAAATTAACACAGTAATGTAAAAATACTGTCATATTAAGCCATTCATTAATGTTTAATACTTTACAGGGAAAAGACATCTTGTCCTTTGGGGCAGAAGTAGGTAGGAAGGTAACTGAGAAAATAAAAATTATTTGGGGGAAACTTTTTATATATCCAAAGTTATATTTATCAAAAAATGTTAAATGGGCAACTCACAAGGCTATTTTGGTTTAACTATTTTTATAAAATAATGTTTACGTATTTAAGTGAAAACCTCAGGCTGCTCATCATTAAAAGCTGGATGTCAGTAGGTTACACTTCCTTGGCGTCCAGCTCAAAGAAGAATGCAATCGTAGTACTACATCTATGGCAGGCATTATATCTCAACAATATTAACAGACTAAACTCACCAATTAAAATCTATCAACATAAGTTGTAACTCAATATATAAATTCAAGAAAAAGGTGTCAAAGTGTCAACTCAATTCCATTGGTTTTATTTAACAAGTTTTCTTTTAAAAAAAAAACCTAACAAGTTGATATAACTCACAAAAGAACCTGAATGAGAAAAAGTGTCTTTCAACAATTCACGGAAACTGTTTTGGTTTTTTGTTTTGTTTTTTTTTTTAGTTCAAAGTTTACTTAGAAAACTTGTTTTAAAAGTTTATTTCTTGGCTGACATCATTAATTATAAAACTACCATTAAGTCATGCAGCTGAGAAACAAAGAAAAACATCATGGAAGATCCTTTTTAAATGGGGGAAGGTGAGTTTGATCCAAGAACAACTCTTAAAATTCTTTCTACATGGTTCTTTGTGATAATGGGCCATTTATCTTTCCACAGACATCCTTTAAATGGGGGACAGAAGAGAAGCATCCCCCTTGGCATTTTCCCACATCTATATTTAATCTGGTTGTTGTGTTTGTTTCTTCATCAGTATCGTAGTCACAATAATGAGCACATTGAAAATCATGTGCATTTAAAAAGTAATATAAATATAAGCATTAAATGAAAGAGTTCTAAGTAAATTATGAGCTTCAGGTACACAGTTACGTTTTTTCTTCTTGTCAAGCATTCTGCTGGATTAGACCATTGGTAAATTACACCAAAGGCACCACCCACATGAAGCAGCAACTAAGATCCAGCCATGCTGTTAGCTGCCACCGTATGTTCTGGAATATGACTATCACTCACTTCACGTAGGTGATATTCCCACATGAATGTTTGTAATCCCACAGGATGCAAAAAAAGGTCCTTTCATAACCAGTGGGTAAATGACAATATTTTATGAGTATCATGTGGCGGTTAACAGTTCTCTTATGGAAAAAAAAAAGAGGTAAACCTGCTTTGTTCCTACTATATTATCATAAAGAACAACAGCTATTTGAGGGTTAGTTTGATTCGTTTTCTGTTTTATTACCACAGTCAAAAACAATGGTTGATCTTAATTTGGCCTGGCTAGAATTCATATAGCAAAGTATGTGAATTACAGTTTCTAATAAAGAAAATGTGTCCATGTCGCTGAAGTGGTATCCTATAAATGATGGAAGTCAGAGTCTATTCTAGAATCTCTCTCTAAACCAGTCTTGACTTCAATGTTGAGTCTTGGCTAAAGCACATTTTACTTACTTTGTAACATTTTAATTTCCACAAATATAGTTTCACACTTAGCCACAGACTATTTAAAAACACAGGACCAAAAGACAAATAGGTGTTATTATACACAATACAATCAAGTTTATACTTAGCAATGTGGTAATTATATTGTTTGTACAATTCAAGATAATAATGGGGGAAATCTGCTTTTTAACACATAATTTTACAACTTAAAAATTCACTTTTATTAAGGCTAAATCAAACTTTTCTCTGCAATTGGGTAAACTCTACCTATTATTCTTCAGGAAGAACTCAATATATTCAGTATCAAGTATAGAACATCAAGTAGGTTTTCAAAAAGACTAAAGAGTCCTAAAAACACAAATATGAATAATCATTCCTGGCTAGTTCAAAAGAGGGCCTGGAAGAAGCCCCAAGAGGAGGCAGGAATTTCAGAAATAAGAGTTACTGATGAAACACTTAATCTGCAATGATTAATTGTGGATTCTGGGGAGAAGGGGGGATTTATAAAGAGCTGAACAACAGGCTCCCTGCTGTAACTGTGTCACCTGGAGTAATCATGAAATATACCAAGAAATACACTAGGATTTTCATTTTTGGAAACTTAAAACACATGCTTCTTTGCCTAAACCAACAAGTACATAAATTTTAAAATAATTCTCTTTACAAAGAAATAATACCAGTAATACTGAAGAATCACATCAAAAACTGAGTCACATCAATAAAGTACATATACACAGCTGTTCATATAAAATTTTAGCAATATTATTATCACCTTATAATTTTATCTCTCATTAAAAAATCTGGCCAGATATACATGAGTCAAAAAAAGTATACATGAGTTTAAAAAATAAAGAGGTTCTTAGATTTGAAAGTTACTTTCTAAACTTGGGTTTTCAAAACAGAAAGTTTTAGAATCAAATGAGAATAAAAAGAATTCGGACATGGGTGTGTGTGTGTGTAGATATATCCTTGTGGAAGGACAAGGATGTGCATGCATCTGAATGTGGGGTGGCTACATGACATATCTGGTTTGTCTACACAAACAATACATATATGTGCACACCTGTGTATATGAGAGTGAAAGTAAACACTCCTAAGCCACAGATTCCTAAACTACTGAATGAAGGAGGCTGTTGATGAGAAATCAACCTATTAAAGCAAGTAAGAGCTTACATCTTCCTGACAACGTGCACACCGGCAAATTAACTCAAGCAAAAGCCCCCTTCCAATAAGGCACATTTATATTCCCCAAATCACAGTAAGATGGACATATTTCCCTTAAATTCCAAATTAAAATATTGCTCTCAAACAAAATAGTTAAAAACAAAAACAAAAAAAACCACTCTCATTCATGTTGAAAGTGAACAAGAATTCGTTTTAAGATCCTAACTCTAACTAAATCCTCACTAAGAGCTGACCAAATCACCTACATGAACCACAACAAATATCACAACATAAAACAGTAGCTTGCTGTATATCCTAAATACCACAAACCAGACTATGGCCTAAGGAAACAAAAAGTATGGAAATGTGCAATTAGTATGTACCACAGCTTGAAAAAGTAATGTAAACATAATGTTGCTTACCACAGAAAATACATCGCAAATTAGTGCTGTCCTGGGTAGCAGTAACCTTGCTCTGGGCTGCAACAGACACCTTGGTGTTAGAAGCTGCAAAGGACAATGGGGCCATCTGAAGAATTTGACAAAAACTAAAAGGTGCTTTGAAAGGTTCAAAATGTATTTACACATACTTCCTACCTAGATCCTCATTCTGGAAGCTCTGTGACTTAATAAAAGCCAACCCTCTTTAACATTAGTTTTACAAAAAAAGTTACGTGTGATCTCATTTGTGGAAAAAC